AGCAGTCTTTCTTTTTTGCTTCCTTTTCACAGTACTTTTGAAGATTCTTGATAAGTTGTTTTTGCAGAATTTCCCTCCGTTTGGATTTGTTCCCTCTTGCATGAATTCAGATTAGTCATTTTTAAGAGAGAAATCACATACAGTGAACTGTGCTATTTTGATTAAAACTTGTCACAGGGTACCTGTGTCTAGTCACAGCTGGTGTGTCCCATCACTGGCTATATTAACCTCTTTTGTGTTGCTGAGACACAATACTCAGCACCCACCATTTAAGAGAGGCTTAATTTGCTCATGGTTTCATTCCATGGTTGGCTGGCTCCAAGGCAGAAGCCTGGCAGGAAGGCCTGGAGGAGTAAGCCTGCTTAATTCATTTGCATGGCAGCTGGAGAGTGCAGCAGGACACGGTGTACTCCAGCAAGGCCAGTCCCAAAGCCAGTCATGTTGAAATTTCACCCTAGCCACTAATATCTAGTAATAGTATTCTGTAAGGAAAATCCTTCATTTATCTACTTTGAGTTCTCCTGCCTCACCCTTCCCAGTGCTGGAATTACAGATGTGTGCCACCACCCCTAGCCAGTTACCACGTTTTTGTGTTTTTTGTACCAGGGATCAAACTCATGACCTCACACTTGCCAGGCAGGTGCTTAAGCCACTGAGCTAAATCCCAGGCCCACCAAATTTTTTTTATGACTCCTCTGGGTCTGATGGTCCTAAATCCTCAGCCCTGTTAAGCTGAAATGTCCGCCAAAAGAGCAGTGATATTATAGCAAATTGTACAGCATTGTGGTGGTTGATGGGAGGAAGGGTGGGCTATGGGCCTTGTGGGTGTTCAGTCCACAAGCACTGTGCCCTGCAGGCTCTGTGGCAACTAGGGAACCTGGGGCCGAAGATTTAGCTCAGCAGCAAAAGTGCTTGCCTAGCAAATGCAAGGTCATAAGTTCGATCCTCTGTACCCAAAAAACTCCAAAACAAAACAAAACGAAAAACCTCTACAATGGCAGTGGATAAAAGAAACCATAAAGATACGTATATCCTATGACTGAAGTACTGTAAAATGTATTTGCCAAAGGCTGGAAGGGAGTAAAAATAAAAAGGTATTGTACCTGCTTTAAAAAAAGAAAAGTAGGGGATTAGAGGTGATACACAGTGAGTAGTAGAGCACTTGCCTAGCATTGTGCGAGTCTTTGGGTTCAGTCCCTAACACTACAAAAAAAAAAAACAACAACAACAACAACAAAAAAACAAAACCAAACAAGCGTAAAGATACTTTCAGGCTAGGCATGGTGGCATATGCCTTTAATCTGAGCACTCAGGAGGCAGAGGCAGGAAGATTGCTGTGAGCTTGAGACCAGCCTGGGCTAGATAGTGAGACCCTGCCTCAAAAAACAAAACAAAAACCACGTTCAGTTAAGTGAATGATATACTGTAAAGAAAAATGATCTATTTTTCTTTAATTGAGATATTACCTTATTCGATTGCCAGGTTGTCCAGGCTGGGCTTAGACCTGAGATCCTCCTGCCTCAATTTCAGAGTGTTAGGATTACAGGTGTATGCCCCCATATTTGGGGGGAAAATCCTGTATTAATTTTTATGTAGATGTGTGTTTTTATGTCTCTTGGGTATATTCCTAAGAGTAGAATTGCTGGGTCCTGCGGTGATCATATGTTTAGTCATTTGGGGACTTTTTAGGCTGCTTTCCAGAGTGTATGTGCCATTTACATTTCTGCCAACATATGAGGGTTCTATTTCTCCACATCTTAAACTTGCTGTCATCTGTGTGATTTTTTTTATTATAGCCATTCAGATAAGTATAAAGATCTCACTGAGGTTTTCATATACATTTCCCTGATAAGAGGTTGACAGAGAGAAATTTTTCATGTGCTTAAATTAGCCTTTTGTCTGTCTTCTAAGAGTTTTGTACTTTTATCATTTATTTGCATTTAAGTCATCCATTTTGAGTTTCTTTTTGTATGTATATATGGTCCAGCTTTATTCTCTTGGCATATGTGTTTCAAGTACCTTCTCCATTGGAAGAGTTTAGTATCCTTATAAAAAGTCTGTTGTTTATACATGTGAATCTGTGCTTTTTAGAGAATCATTTTCTTTCTCTGTATGGATTTTATCCTGTGTGTTTACTCTGTAAACAACCACTTTATTCTTTTATGTAAAAGGAAACTTACTATATGTATGTTTTCATATGTTGCCACTTTTTATTTAACATATATATATAAATAATCCACTCATTTTTGTGTTAGAGAGAAGTTTATTCACTTTCATTGATGTATAATATTCCATTGTGTGACTATACCAACAATTTTTAGCCATTTTACTTTGGAGAGGGTTACAGGGAGTTTTTCATGCTAAACGTATCCTCTGCCATACAGTGGTACCCCTTAGCCATGTTTTACTACTGATAGATACTTGCTTTGAGTTTTTTTTTAAAACCAGGTAAAGGAAAGAACATATAATGCTTATTACATGTCTACACATGGGAATATCCAACTCCAAATTAGCAATTCTTTAAAAATGTGTATGTAAAAAATAAAATGTGTATGTAGCTGGGGACATAGCTTAGTAATAGAGCGCTGGCCTGGCAAGCATGAGCTGTGGGTTCCATCCTGTACCACTGCCACCACCACTAAAAGAAAAAGTATGTAGGAATGGATACATAGAGGCAATCTTTAGCAAACTTTTACCAAATATTTTTGGTGAACAAGAGAATAATAGTACTGAAGGAGTAGAAGAAAATTTTGGTGCCCATAAGCCAAGATGATTAGGAGCAGGACACATTCTCAGTGTGCTACACATAGAGAGAGGCTTGTGGAAATCGTCAGTGTAGACTCTTTTTTTTTTGCCTTTTTCCTTTTTATCAGTACCGGGGATCGAACTCACGACTGCCTGCTTGCAAGGCAGGCGCTTATTCCATTGAGCTAAATCCCCAGCCCCTTCTAGCACAGTATTAATGAGGCTAGGATTTTAGGACATGTGGATAAGGATAAAATCATTCAGAAAAACATAAGCTAACTATGCTGGTATACTTTTATTTATTTATTTATTTATTTATTTATTTATTTTGTGCCAGGGATTGAATTCACAAGCTCACGTTTGCCAAGCAGGCACTTGTGCTTGTGAGCTAAACCCCCAGCCCAGTGCTGGTGTATTCTTGTAATCCCAGCACTCTGGGAGGCTCAGGCAGGAGGATTGCAAATTCAAGCCCAGCTTGGGCAATTTAATGAGACTCTATCTCAAAATAAAAAACAAAGGATTGGGAGTGTAAAGGCTCTGGGTTGAATCCCAATAAGAAAGGAAGGAAGGGCCAGTTGTGGTGGCACATGCCTATAATCCCAGTAATGGGAAATGTGAGGCAAGAGGACTGCCACAGATGCAAGGCCAGCCTGGGCTACATAGTGAGACAACTGTCTCTAAAAACAAAAAAAAGAAAGGTAAAGATTCCATAACTACAAAGGAAAGCATGCTGGGGGTAAGAAGGGTCTTAGATGTTAAACCTAAAGCCTTCACCCTGAGCTAAATTCCTAGCCATTTCTTTATTTTTTATTTTGTGACAGGGTCTTGCTAACTTCCCAGGCTGGACTCAAACTTATGATCTTTTTGCCTCTGCTTCTCAAATTTCCAGTTTTTCTGGCAGAAAATTACTGATAAAAGTATATAATTCAAGTAATTAAATCTATTTCTGCCTTGTTTCATATTTCACTTTTTCCAAGAATGCTGAGTCATAAAATAAGATCTAAATTAAGAAATTATTGTCAGGTATGGTGGTGTGCACCTGTAATCCCAGCACTTTGGAGGCTAAGGCAGGAAGAGCCCCATGAGTGCAAGGCCAGCCTAGGCTCTGCAGTGGATTCAAGGCCAGTCTGAACTGAACTGCATAGTAAGACCCAGTCTCAAAAAAAAAAAGTTAAAATTACAGACTTGGTTTTTAGAAAATAAAATGTTCAAAATTGTTTAGTTTATCTACTGAAAACATTAATTTCGCTTTTTGCTACATTACCTTCTGTCCAGCAAATCTCTTTTCCAGTGGTGAATTAAACCTTGCTTGTTTATCTATACTTAGAAACTCTGCTGATGACTGGCATAGTACTACTAATGGCAAAGTTGAAGAATAAATTAAATGCTGAGCCAGATATTATGGAAATCAGAGAACCCTAGTAAGATGCCATATCCTGTTTCATTTTCCTTCTCTTAGAACATGTTCCCAAAAAATCATACAAAATATCTTTGATTTTTTTTTTTTTTTTTTTAGTCTTTTTCTTTTTTATCGGTACCAGGGATCCAACTCAGGACTACCTGCTTGCAAGGCAAGCACTTATGCTGCTGAGCTAAATCCCCAGCCCCAATATCTTTGATTTTTAGGTAATATTTAACCTCTAGAAAGAAACATAGCTTAGGGTCTGTTTCTGCTGTTTGAACTGAGGCACAATTCTCCAAGTCTTTCTTCATCTTAAATGTGTGAAAAATACTAGAGCTTAATTCACAGGGTTGTTTTGAGGAATAAATAAAATAATGCACGTAAAATACTTAGTGCTGTGTTGGGAACATAATGAATCCTCATACAGGTTTTAAAACGAGGAGCTGGGGACATGGCTCAGTGGGGAAGCACTTACTTGCTCAGTCCACATGAAGCCCTAGGTTTCAGCAACAAAAGGTGAGAACAGCAAAAGAAAAAAGAGAAGAGAAAGTCCTGCATGCACAGGGTTTTTTTTTTTGTTTGTTTGTTTTATTTTGTTTTGTTTTGTTTTTGACACTAATTTCTTATTCTTTATGTATTTTGCTCTCTTCAGTGCCTGTGGCATTAAGGATGACAAGTCCTCACACCATGGGCAGCAGCTAGCAGCTAATGCTTTCTCTACGGCAGAACTGATTTGTTCTAAGTAGCCCAGAGGATTGTATGTGGAAACAGAAGACATTGACAAGGTTTTAAAGGATTTTCTCTTTACATACTTTCTTTTATTTTTTAAAACAGTGCCTTTGGAGATGAGACTATGAAGCTTCGACAACTGAAACTGGACAATCAGGTGAGCAGTCTCCTCTTTTGAAATAAGTGGACAACTGTACTGACAGTAATGCTGATCTTGGCTGTGAAGTTTTTGTAGCGTAAAACTGGAAAAGAGCTGGTGGGGTTTTGGTTCAGGTTTTAAGAGAAACAGTCAACAGAAAAGAAAAAAAAAAAAATATATATATATATATATTCTCCATAAGCTTGTAAGAAGATTTACTAGATAGGCTTGCAGGATCAGAAGTGTTATACCTCCCAGTGATTGTCCACAAACTGAAAAACCAGAGGATCCAGAGCTGCTCAGCCCAAGAAAGTGAAAGTTGCAGACCAAGAAGGATCCAGGAGACAGCTACAGTCCAAGGCTGAAAGACTGGAAAGCTCCCTGCAGAGTTGCTTGCATGGTCTGCATTGAAAGGCTGAAGAATCTGGAGTATGATGCCCACAGACAATGGCAGCTGCAAAAGATGCACCTGCTAAGCCAGACATGGTGGCACCTGCCTGTAATCCCAGCACTAGTGAGGCTGCGGCAGAAAGATCACCAGGAGCTCAAGGCCAGCCTGAGCTGCATAGTAAGTACAAGGCCAACCTGGACTACATAGTGAGACCCTGTCTCAGACCACCACCACTCCCCCCAGAAACGTACCTGCTAACAGAATGGAGCTTTCCAAATGCAGCCTTCCTTCCTTCTCCCCTTTTCATTCCATCTAGGGTGTGAACCTGTTGAACAGTGCCACCCACAGTCAGGGCAGCTCTTTTCCCTGCTTTTGAGGCCTACATGCAATTATCTCTGGAAACACTCTGCAGAAGCACTGCTATTCTGGTATGTATCTTTTAAGCCAGTCAAGTGGATGGTCACAACAGTTTCAGATGTTTACATTTAGCAGTCTCTAGGGTTAGTATTTGCTGAAGCAAAGCTCTGGGCTGTGGCAAAACCAATGTGCTTAGAGGATGTCAGCAATAGAACTGGCTTCAGATTTATTTATAATCAGTGAAAATTCCTCTACGTGCCTGCCTGGCAAGCACAAGGTCATAAGGTCCATCCCTAGTACAAAAGAAAGAAAGAAAAAAGAAAGAGAAAGAAAATTCCTTGGCACCTTTCAAAGAATTAGAACAATGTTGTATTAGTCCACTTTCCATAACTATAACAAACTATCTGAGGTTAGCTACTTTACAAAGAAGAGATTTATTTAGTTTACACTTTTGGAAACTAGAGGTCCAACATAGGCATCTGTTGGCCTCTGGAAAGGACCCATTGGCCATGTCATAACACCAGAGACTCAAGAAGGGAAATGATGGTACAAAACGGAGATCACACAGCAAGATGAGCAGCCAGACAGAGACTCGGCCAGCCTGACTGTTTTTGTAATACTTGCTCTTGGAAACAACAGAAATTCTAGGGTGAGAAGCACGTTCAGTTCTTCCCAAGGCCAGGCCTTGAATGACTTAACCACCTCTGCTAGGCACAGCTTCTGAAGGTTCCCAGCATCGCTGCACTGCAACCCACTACCACACATAAGCTTTGGAGACGTGCTCAGACCACAGCACCTGTTACCATTGTATTTCTGTATACTCACTTGGTTCTGCTACCTTAAAGATACTGAATTTCATTTGGCTACAAGAGTTTTTTTCTTTATCCTAAAATGTAATCATAATTTACTGCTGTGCAGCTTAGTTTTTTTCCCAGCACCAGTTTCAGTTTATTATTTCAGTTTATTGTTACAGTTTTGTTGGAGTAATTTTACTTGTTTGTTTCCTTTACTAATCTCTCTGAGAAAAAGAGTCAAGCATGGTTTTTTAAAATATATTTTATTTGATAAATAGCGGTTGTACATATTTAGGAAGTGTAGGGTAAAATTTTGATTCTGCATCTTTAAGGAAGTTTGTTTTGACCATAATGTTTGATGACCATTGTATTAGACTTTCCTACTACAGTGGTACTTCTCTTTTCATGAACTTAATTTTTTTCCAATATTCTGGTAACAAACCGAATTGGACAAGTACCAAATCAGATTTCCCCATAAGTTCAGCATTGAACTTAATTAATCATTGAATTTGATTCAGTTCTTGTCCAGTTCAGTTTGTAACCAGAATCTCAGAAAGAATTAAGTTTGTGAGCAGGCCAGGCCTGGCGGGGGGCCTCAGGACTCAGCTGTGTGCCGCTGCCAGCGTGCATGTTGGCTTTCTCCGGGGGCAGCAGCCAGGGCTGCGATGACAGAGTACTGCAAGGAGCAGCAGAATGGACTGGAGGCTCTGAGTCCATCTACCCCAATTCCTTCACAGTGTTATCAGAATCTACCCAGCTTCACCATTTCTGTTACACTGGAGGCTGGAGGAAATGAGGACGCGGTCCAGACTACCCTCAGGTTTACATACAGTGAAAAATGCTCAGATACCTCTTTATGAAATATTCTCCCAGGAAAATATAGAAGATAATGATGTCATAGACATTTTAAAATTATTAATATAAGCTCCTGCCTGACAAGCGTGAGGTCGTGAGTTTGATCCCTGGCACCAAAAATAAATAAATAAATAAATAAATAAATGAAATTATTAGCATTGCGGGCTGAAGAAAGTCTTAGTGTGGTCATAAATCTTTATTCTAGTGACAGCTATGCAAGAAAAACTCAGTGAAATAGTAGATCAGATAAAAATGAGAGGAGGAAAAGAAACTAAAGAAGAAGCAGAAAAGTAGTTATTTTATGACACTGTCACAACTGAAAATTTCTTACCTTGGAAAGCCAAGTTTGCTGCAGAACTCAAAAAAATTAAGAAGTGGTGGATGAAAAAAGAACAAGCAAGAAATAAGTGGCACACAGCTGTTTGAAATAGGTCATAATCTCGACACATCTAGCATACTGTTCTTGAAAGATGCTGGAAATGGTGTTGAAGTGGATGAGTCTTTGGGAATGAGTGACTTGGAGCTGGAGGACATTGAGGATGATCCAGACTACAGTCCTGCTGACCCAGGGAGTGATGCACCAGACGGATACACAGTCTTCACTTCCAGAGAGGCTTGACAACCGCAGCATCTGTGGCCATTTTTCTCCTCCTCCTCCTCCTCCTTCTCCTTGTCTTCTTCCTTCTTCTCCTTCTTCTTCTTTTGTCTTTTTTGAGACAGGGTTTTGCTATGTAGTGCAGCTGGATTTGACCTTACAGCACTCCTCCTGTCTCAGCCTCCCAAGTGCTGGGTCTTTTTTTTTTTTTTTTTTTTTTGTCTTTTTCATTTTTATCAGTACTGGGGATCGAACTCACGACCGCCTGCTTGCAAGGCAGGTGCTTATGCCACTGAGCTAAATCCCCAGCCTTTTTTCCTAAGGCAAATAATTGTCAGTAGAATATCTCAAGTAGTTTTCATTACTGAACTTAGTAAACTGACCTTAGCACTTCAAATATAAAATATTCACTTCCTCTTATTGGCAAACCAAAGATTACATATTTCACATTATTTATGAATGCAGATTTTTTTTTCTTTTTTCCTGGTACCAGGGATCGAACTCATGACCATGCGCTTGCAAGACAGGCGCTTATGCTGCTGAGCTAAATCCCCAGCCCTTATTTCACATTATTTAATGCTGGAGGGAGATCCTACCCATAACACCAAGACTTGAAGGTGTTGAAGACAGCTGCCATATGTACATGTGGTTTATGTGCAAGAACTAGAATAACTTGTAATTTCTCGGGTTAGATTTATGACTTCCAGCCTGGATTTTTTTTAAAATTAAGTTTATTGGTACATTTTAGGGATACATAATGATCATACACATCATAGGGAATTTGTTCCTGTACATAATACATTTTGATTCCCCTCCCCCCAATCCTCTCTTCTCCCTTCAACACTTCTTTCCCTCTTTGTCCCAGTCTTAATTTTAAAAGTGACATTTGATACCAAAAAAGAATTAATTCAAGGACCAATGTACCACTGTACTGTATAACCTCTCATTAAATGTTGGGAGGAAGGAAGGAACGCGGGCGGCATGTTGTCATATGCTGTGGTCATCATGCTTAGGCAGCTCTGAACCTGTTTGTGACATGCATTTCTTTCATGTTTCTCACCTGAATTTTGTTCTGTTCTTTTACGTGCTTGGGGATTGAAGCAGTAATCTCTTGGACTGTGTCATTAGTAGTCAGTAGCTTGTTAGAGCCTGGGCTGCCACTGTTGTGCTCATGGCCAGGGGAAGGGCTGAGCACTGAAGGGAAGCATAGCTTGAAAGGCAGCACCTCCTGATGAAGAAAGCATCAGGCTGCAAACTACAGGCTTCAGTTCCAGGTCTAACTCTGCTGTTAATTGGCTGTGTGATTTGAGGTGAGATCCTGAAACCCTGAGGGTCTCATTTCATCTGTAGAGTAAGATTGGACAGGATAAAGTAATAAAAGATTAGAAAGAAATGGGATGTTGAAGTTGCAGGTGAGTGGTGGTGTGTGGATGCAAGGACCAAACTTAAGGGCATCCTGGAGTGAGGTTGACTCAAAATAAAATACGAGAGGAGGGCTGGTGATACAGCCAAGTGGTAGAGCTGCCGTCCCATCCCAGATAGGGAAGAACAGTTGGTCAGATCTGCTGGCTGTGACATCACCTCTGCTTCCTAGAGAGCACTACTGGAGAAGAAGCAGAGGAAGAAGCGTCTGGAGCCACTCATGGTCCAGCCGAACCCAGAAGCCAGGCTGCGTCGGCTGAAGCCCAGCGGCAGTGAGGAGCACACGCCTTTGGTAGAACCTCACACGCTCCACAGCGACATCATCCTGCACGGTGGGTATGCGGCAGCTGTGCTTCCTGCTGGAGAGCAGCTTCACAGGCCTGAGCGAAGGCTGGATTCTTAGATGAGCTCAGGGCCAGTACCACCACATGTCTTTGTAATCATCCTGACCCTTTGAGTAGAATGTTAAAAAGTAATCTACATCAGCAGAAGATGCCTTCAAGTTCTTCCTAGAACTTGTTTTTAGATGCCAATTGAATTAATCTAAAATGACCTATATGAAGCACTTTCAGGATTTTTGGGGGGTGAGAGGGTTGTTTGCAGCACTGGGGATATATCTTAGTTAATTTTCTCATTGCTAGACAAAATACCCACCACTCCGAGTTAAAGAAGGAAAGGTGTATTCTGGCTCAGTTTGTAGAGGTTTCAGTTCATAGTCAGCTGGCTCCCAAGCAGATGGCTTGGCGGAGGAGAAGCAGTTCATGACAGGTAGCAGTGAAGGAGCAGTGAAGCCCCAGCAAGCAATGGCAGCAGTCTTCTCTCTGCCCCTTATTTTCTGTCCAGGCCACCTGCCCTTGGGGCAGGTAGCACTCACATCCAGGTAGGCCTTTCCATTATCTGCACCCAGAACTATGCCAAACCAATCAGTGGTCTAATTTAATCACACACTCTCGATCCCAGCATCATATACTCTAGATCCAGCCACCTCTGAAAAGCCCCATCTATGACTACTTGAGGCTTTGGGGGTACATTTAGACACAAACCATAACAGGATGAAACCCAGGATTTTGTGTATGCTAGGCAAGCTTTATGCCACTGAAATACACCTTTATCCTGGAGTAGTTAACAGTTTTGATGGTGGTATTGTGGCAGAGGTTAACCATGTTCCAAGAATAGGTAGGAAACATCTTTTCCTATAATAGATAGCTCAGAGGATCATCTGAGCTGTTGAGGGAAGAAAAAAATAGGATCAAGAGCTCTGTCATGCTGCTTGAGCAGGGCTTGGACAGAATGTGTACTGCTTTATTCTCTTGGTCTTGTTCTTCCCGCCCCCTCTTTAGTGCTGGGACAGGAACTTGGTCCATGCTGGGTAAATATTCTATCATTGAAGTACATTCCCAGCCTCTTGATCTTAAGTTTTAGTTTTAAAGTTAACATAAAGTATATGTTACTTCACTACCCAAGTATGTTGTCAGTTGAATCCCATCTTAGATAAATGTCCTTGCAATATTTAGGGAGGAAAAAAAAAATGGTTTGGTAGTTGTGAATTGCGATTGCACAGACGTAGCTACATAGCATGACACTTTTCTCCTTTGTTTTTGGGGGACTTATAGGCATTGATGGTCCAGCTGCTTGCCTAAAACCAGATGCTCGTGATGTGGAAACCAAACTTCACGTTCTGTCAGTAGGCTCTTCTGCTGCAGAGGAAAATATTGAAGGCAGTGTTGATGGAGAAAACAATGTAAATTCTACTTCCAAGCAAGACCTTCAGGAAATTCTCCAAAAACATGGTGAGGATTAGTAATGACTTTAAGACACTCCCTCCCTGCTGAAATCTGAGGCTGATAACCTTGTTGTCTGGTCACCCCTCCCCTCATCAGGTTTTGCCAGGGTTTCATGCTACCCTCCTGCCCAGTTCTGTCCCAACCTTGGCATGGGCTACCTCATGCTGTCATGGTGGGACCCCTGGACATGATCATCTGCCCTAAATGCCACCTTGCTTGCCTACATCTATGCCTGGAGAGGAGATCAAGAGGTTCCATGTTTTCGTATTTTGTCTTTTCACTCTCATTCCTCTGTCCTTCAGCCAGGGAAGGAGTGGGCTTTTCTTTTGCTTTTCCAACATCATATCTTTCTTCATTCTGCTAAGCTTTAACAGTGAACTGGGAGGCTGGATGTTGTGATGCATGCCTGTAATCCTAGCACTTGGGAGGCTAAGACAGAAAGTTTGTCTCAAGTTTGAGGCCAGCCTAGGCTACATAGAATTTGAGACCAGCCTGGACTACTTTAAAGTTCAAGGCCAGCCTGGACTATGCGGTGAGAACCTGTCTCAGAAAAACAAAAACAGTAAACTTGGCTCTCCTTTCCACTACAGTGAACCTTGTGGCTTGAGTTCTCTAAGCTTACATGCTGATATTGCAGCATGAGCAAAATATATGCTACGTGTTTAAAAGAATTTTTAATTGTTAAAGTAAAAACACACTGCCATTAATAACCCCCTCAAGATATTTTCCCTGACTTCAAACATACTTATCCTATCATTTTTGCTTGTTTCGTTTTGTGAAACAGGGCTTCTCTATGTAGTTCAGGCTGGCCTTGAACTCAGTATGTACTCTAGGCTGATCTTGAACTCACAGTGATCTTCCTGCCTCAGCCTCCAAAGTGCTGGAATTACAGTAGTGTACCACATGCTGGCAATTCTTGCCACTTTCTGAAGCAGTTCTGTAAGTTCTCTTTCATGAGTATCTTAGTCACGTTCTCATCTCTGAGCCAGAGTACCTGACATTGCAGCTAAAAGGAGAGGTGTATTTTGATCCATGTTTCCAGCCATCGTTGGCTGCTCTAAGGCAGGGGCATGGCAGAAGAATAGCTGCTTACCTCCCAGCAGCCAGGAAGTAGAAAAGATGAAGGGAAGAATCAAGAAGGGTGACACCTCCTGCCAGGCCACACCCCCACTGATCCACCTCTTGCAATCAGGGCCTACCTCCTCACATAAGTCACTATACCTCGCCCATAAGCCAGTCATGTTCCAGAAGCCCTGTCCATGCACACCAGAGACTCTTGGGGGCGTCTAGATAGTTCTAAACCATAACATTTCTCCTTTGTCCCCCCAAAATTGACTGCATATTTCTTCATGCCAAAGTCTGAAGAGTGCTGCTGAAAAATCCAAGCTCAAACTCTCTTCTGAGACTAAAAGCAACTCTTAGCTGTGAGCTCATGTGAAATTAAACACAAGCCCACAGATAAACATTCCCATTCTAAAAGGGAAAAATAGGGAGATGGAAAGAAATGGTACTAAAGCAGGACCAAAACCCAGTAGTGCAAACATTAACTCCTATAGCTCCATGTCCAGCACTCAGGGTGAACTGTGGCAAGATACAAGCATCAAATAGCATGGGCACCCCTGGGCCTGCATCATAGACAGTGGTTATAGTCCTCATGCTCTCTTTCAGGCTGGCTTTGCTCACTCAAAGCTTTCCTCAAAAGTCCTATGTGCCTGGTTGTTTCAACTTCCTGGAGTCTGCTGCTTCTTGGGCATCACCCTCACGGCTTCACACACTGCCCTCTCAGGGACTCACTGCCTAGGCTTCTTCTGAAATCTGGGTGGAAGCCTCCCTGACCCAACAACTGGATTCTGCATGCGCACACAACTAACACCCTGTGGATGATGCCAAGATCTCCTTTCTGCTCAAGCAGTCCCAGCCTCCTTGAATTGTGGCTGCAGGGGCCTCTGAGTGCCTGGGGTAGCGGAGTACTGTGAACTGCATACTGGGGAACAGATTCCCTGGGGAGCTGTTCCGTGGTGCCCTGGGACTCTCTTCTCTTGGCAAAGTCCTTCACCTTTGCAGTTTTGAACCTGGAAAGGATGGGACCTTGCTGGTTCCTAACATTCCTTTAAGCTGATTTCCCTTTTTCCTGACCCAGAGTACTTGTCTTCTTTTTCATTTTTTCAGCAACCTTGGCTAAGGTTTTCCTTGGTTAAAACTTTGCAGGCCTTTCCTTTCTCAGGAAAATGAAAACTTCTCAAGTCGGTTTTTTGCTCCTGATTGTCAATGCAGACTTGGCTAAAAGCCCCCCACAGTACTCATGCCAACACCTAAATATTGAGCTGCCTTGAAATTCCCTCCACCAGATAATTAGTCCTCCACCCTTAATCTGATTCTATCACAAACTTTAATAACATGAGCCAAATTTATAGACCAGTCTGCCAGAACATAACACATGTGGCCTGGAGTCTAACTCCAATGGAGTCCTTTCCAGCTGAAACAACCTGATCCTGGCCTTATGCTGCCTTTTTATCAGCATTCTGGTCTCCTGTGCTCTGACCAGTCTTCCATCAAGCTTGGATCACATGGGCTTGGATTAGGGATGTTCTCCAGTCAGCATCTCCATACCTTCCTACCTCCTGTGAGCCAGCTCCAGAGGCTTCTGAACCACATGGTCAGGTAGTTAGAGCACTGACCCTGTTTTTCTGGCATCAGAATCTGTCTCGGTTACGTGCCGAGTTGCTGAGACAAAATACCCAACACCCACAGCTTCAGGGAAGACAGGTTTATTTTGTCTCACAGTTTGTAGCGGTTTCAGTCCATAGTTGTCCTGCTCCAAGGCAGGATGGCGTGGTGGAGACAGGGGAGCCCTGAGAGGGTGCCTCACCCAAGAAAATGATGCCCGGGCAGGGGGTGACAGGTGAGGACCGTCTGTTCAGAACAGCAGTAACAGAGTAATAGGAGGTAACAGGTAAGATATGTCTAAATAGGAAGTGACCCAGGACCAGCCAGGGCATATGGGCAGGAGTGTAGAGCTTGTCTAAAACATGATAGATTCTAGGAGGGGTTTCTGATGTGACCACATTGGGTCTGTAGAGAAATTACTCTGCACCCTGGATTCCAGTCCCAGCACCAAAAAATAAAAAGAGAGGAAGGAGAGAGAAAATTACTCTGTGCACATGAAGAGTGAATGAGAAGGAGTCAAATTGGGAAGCGAGAAAACCAGTTAGGAGAGAGTTTGACTGATAGCTCAACTCAGAATGTTCTAAATGCAAGAATGAAAAGCAGGGGAAAGATACAATCACTCTGCCAGGGGATAGAGCAATAAAAAAGGTATCGAGAGATGGTGATTGTCTAATTGCTTTTCTCATTGCTGGGACAAAATTCCCAACACCCACAGTCAAGGGGGAAAGCTTTATTTAGCTCAGAGGTTTCAGTCTATAGTTGGCCAGCTCCAGAGCAGGGTGGCATCGCAGGGGGTATCCTTGCTGTCAGAGCAGGCCGAAGGCAGCACAGTAGGAAGCAGGGAGCCTGCCTTTTCCTTTTATGCCATCCAGGCAGCCAACCTTTTGGGGGATACTACCCAGAACTGTGTTTATTCCAGTCAGTGATACAGCCAGCTCCAGAAAGCCCCACCTATGAGGACACGAGGCTTTGAGGGGACATCTAGATAGAAGCCACAACAGTGATTAAGCTGAGCCAAGAAGAATGCATGTCTGCCTGTGTATTGGTATCGGCTGGGGAGCGGCCAGACCCTGACACGTCAAGTATTTGCTGTATAGACTTCTGATATACTTCTAGGGCTAGGTATAGCACAGTGGTAGAGCACGTAGCCTGCTGGAGGCTCTGGATTCAGAACCTACCACACGAGTGGAAGAAGGGATGGAGGTAGAGAGGATGGACATCCTGAAAATGATGTCACAGATACTTGTCTCTCCTTGTGTGTAAGTCAGTTCTTAGGCTAAGTAACTTGTCCTGGGTTATATTACTGGTTAGATGCAAGCAGAAAAAATAGCATGTGCCAAGACATCTAGATGTAGAAAGCATAAGACGCATGTATAAGCTGGAATGGTGACCTAGAGCCTCCTCTCTGTAGCAGAGGCTTGTCACATGGACCAAATAAGCATAGCTTTGGAGCCGACTTGGTAGTTGTAAATCTCGTCTCTGCCACTTATGGCTGGAAAGGGGGTAAAAATCCTTACTTTTCTCAGCCTCAGTTTTCCTGACTAATATGAAGGTAATCATGGTATTTACTTCCTGTTATTGCTTGTATCTAGATTTTCCCTAAAGTTTCATGTGCTCATAGGTGGAGCTTTTCAGTGCTGGCTGGTTCTAGGGTTTGTGGTACTGAGATTAAGGCTGTGTTGTACTAAATTAAGTCACTGATAGGTTTTAGCATAATTCTGGGTTTGGATAATAGTGCCCAACCACAGTGCCCCTCTACCATGCCAGCCTGCTTGGAGCCAGCCAACTGTGATCTAAAACCTCTACAAACTGTGAGCCTTTAGCTTACAAGTGCTGGGTATTGTGTCTCAGCAGAGAGGAAAGTAGACACTTCCCTATTACTTTACTATCACTATTTTTAACAACAGAAGAAAGTGAAAGACATTGTTCAATGAGTAGAAGCTAGAGCAGAGGACCTTGTTTAACCAAAGGCTAAATTAGTTATCCTTAATCATCTAGCCAGCTAGTGGAAGACCTACATCTTCTGATTCCTGGTTTGGTTCTTTATCCCTGACTGGAAGTACCAGGTCGCCCCTTCCACATGGCTTTGTGAAATGACTGTTGTGTTCTTTCTTGGAATGGGCCTCTCAGGGCATGACAGGTGAATGCTTTGAACGTTTCAGCGGCTGGCATCTTAACTATGAGACCCATGAAGTGCTCTGTTGATTAAGCTAAATTAGAAGTGTTGCTTTGGCAGATTATATCCCTTAACCAGTTCCTTTTTGGTTGTCTTAAATATTTGGGGCAAATTTTTTTTTGGTACCGGGGCTTGAACTCACAACCTCGCACTTGCAAAGCAGTTGCTTATGCCACTGAGCTAAATCCCCAGCCCCTTAGGCCAAATTTTTGATCTCTGTTTTAAGACATCGTAATAGAAATTGAGTTTTTGGTACAAAAAATGGCATTTAAAGACAGCACCAAGTAAAGACAGCATTATCAGACATATGATAATTGAATCTTGCCTTTTTTCTACCAAAAAGATTATCTTTTTTTTGAAATAGGGTTCCCATATGCTGTTCAGGCTGGCCCTGAATTCATTATATAGACCAGGTAGTCCCCAATTAGTCGTGATCCCCCAGCCTCAGCCTCCCAGGTGCTGGGATTATAGGCATGCACCACCACATATAGCTAGCTTAATATTTTAAAGAGCTCAATTAGGATGGTAGGTGGGTGTGGTGACACACATCTGTGACACTGAGCACTTGACAAACTGAAGTAGGATTGCCCACAAGTGCAAGGCCAACCTGGGCTACATAGTGAGTTCAAGGCCAGTCTGAACTGCATAGTGAGACTTGGCTTCAAAAAACTAAAAACAAAATTATTTTTCAATAAAATACAATTAGGGTAGAATGGCCATTTTCAAGAAATCAATCAGTAACAAATGTTGGCAGGGCTGTGGGGAAAAAGGAACCCTTCTCCACTGTTGGTGGAAGTGTAGACTGGGGCACTATGGAAATCATTGTGGAGATTCCTCAAAAAACTAGGCTAGAGGTTCCATTTGACCCAGCTGTTCCCCTACTGGGTATCTTCCCAAAAGAATTAAAACTTGCATAGCACAGTGTATACCTGTGTTTATAGTGACAGAGTTTTTGTTTTGTTTTTTTTTTAAAGAGAATAAAACAGAACAAAGCAGATAAGAACAAAACGATGCAGTCAACACAGGATTTTGAAACAAGACAATGGGAAATCAACAGTGTTTACCATAATGTCTCTTTTTTTCTTTGAATGGCATAGTTTTTAATAGCCAGTCAAATGGTGAATGGATAAAGATGTGGCTTTTTTACTACTCTGCCATAAAGAAGAATAAATTTGAGACATTTCTAGGAAAATGGATCACCTTGAGCCCATACTCCTAAGTGCAGTAAATCAGACACACATGCATAAACACCAGATTGTTTCTCTGGTATAAGAAACCAAAAATATAAATAAGGACCAAAATGTATAATAGGTATTATGAAATAGGAAGAAAATATTCACATGGAAAGGGAAACAAGGGAGAGGGAAGGGAGAAAGGAAAGAAGGGAAAAGTAAAAAAGAGAGAAAAAGAAGGAAACATGGAAACAAAGCTTTTGTAATTGAGGAGGGGAGGAGAATGGGAAAGAGGTCATATGCACAGTTTTAAATTCTCTATGATGAATGTGATCATTATGTGTATCTAAAATGAGTACAATCTGATTGGAAAATAAAAAATTAGTGTGACAGTGGGAACACAAGGGGTGGATGTGAGAATATGAACAATTGTCAAAATCTGGGCAAGATTATGTGTTTGGGGTCAAAATATTAGGGACACCCCTGCCATCGCCTCCCCCCAGCCAAGCTCAGTTCCAGCCGGGGCCTCACGTGTGCTAGGCTGACTGCCCAGCCCTGTCAGGAGTGTTTTAAGCGGGAAAATCAAAGCTTTAGTTCAACTATTTCTTAAAGTAGTATTGGCCGTTACTGACAGTGTTTCATGTCTGCAGGTATCTCAGGCAGTTTGAACTTTGATGAGGAGGAAACTGATGATGAGGAAGAAGGAAAAAACCTAAGTTCCCAGTCACATTATTCAGAAACAGAGAGGCCCAATTCTGCGTCCAGCCAGAAATCAACCACAGTATGTAGTTCTAACGTTTTCCTTTAGTGCTAATTTTGACTCTTTCCCCAACATATTTCTGTGTTTAGGTACCATTACATGAGGTTCCTTCAAAAGACTTAAGCCCAAATTCAGATCTTACTAATTTCTTCTGTCTCAGGTTGGCTATTTTCTTGTATATGTATGTTTGTTTGTTTGTTTTTTGAGGCAGGGTCTCACTATGTAGTTCAGGCTGACTTTAAAGTTATTTATAAAGTCTCGGCTGGCCTGGTACTCATGGTGATCCTCCTGCTTCAGTCTCCCAAGTGCTGGAATTGATTACAGGTGTGTACCAGCACATCTGGCAGGTCAGCTATTTTAAGGCTATAGATAGATAGATAGATAGATAGATAGATACCATGTTTGTACTAAACTTGTCCTGTGTTCCCAGGGCTCATATCCTTGTTATCTGACTATTACAATGCCTCCTTACTCTATCAAAAGACTGAAGACATTGAGGTAGATGAGTAAGCTCTGTGTTTCTCGCGGAGCACATGAAGTGTCTAATCCACCTCCCGTTCCTGCGTGGCTGTACTTCCAGACCACAGGAGCTTCCGGCACTACAGCCCCGCAGGCTGACACCCAGCTGGGAGAAGTGGAGAACCTAGAGGACTTTGTGTTCAGCCCTGCCCCCCGAGGTATCACAGTGAAGTGCCGGATAACCAGGGATAAGAAGGGAATGGATCGTGGTTTCTTCCCCACGTACTTTATGCACTTGGAAAAAGATGACAATCGGAAGGTATGAGAATTAATGTTAACCTTTTTGCTTTGTTTTGTTTTGTTTTGTTTTGAAACTGTCTAGCTAGATTACTAAACTGCCCAAGCTTGGCTCAGGCTCAAAATTCTTTGAGGCTAAGGACCACACCTGGCCCTCCCTATCATCTCTCCCTTTCTTTCTTTTTTACTTCCTCCCCAGTTGGAGATTGAACCCGTGGCCTCCAGCATACTAGATGAGTGCTCTACCACTGAGCTTCTCCCCTGTCCTGTGAGGCCACTCTTGAGAGAAATCTGTTACGGGAGATTGTCGGTGGCCTTCTGGAAGAGAACCATATTGAAGTGGCTGGCCCCATGAATCCTGTGGTGCTGTGTTCCCAGCATCTCCAAAGTGCTCACAGTCCAGCACACAGGTGCTACGCTTCCTTTGTAACCACCAGCCTAAAAAAATGACTTTTATCCATAATCTAAGAAAATAGAGCAGAATTATTCCTGATGCTAAGGGTTACACACAGGGCCTTGTGAATGCCTGGCAGATATTCTCCACAGAGTTCCCTCCCCAGCTCCAGAGAATATGTTAATGTAGGTATTTCTACCTCCTTTCCATTGCTTATTTTTGGGTGTTATTGTGTGTTCTTTGGTTTTTCTTTTTACTGTGGTTGAATATAATATTGTGGACAAAGGAGAACAGGTTTTAGGTTATAGAAGACATTGAAAATACAAAAGGTCATGTTAAATATGAAATACAGAAGTTATGATATTTTCTTTTTCATCTTAGAAATTCTAAGTTAATCCTTCCTAATAAAAAGTCTATTTTGTCCTAATACCAAGACTAAGGGGATGATTTTAAGGGCCCAGAAATGCAATAATGATAGCAGACATCATTATTATTATAACTTCTACTTATTGACTGTTTATAAGGTCCATGCATGCACTAAATATTTCAGCTCTTATCACAGCCTCCAGGTAGGATTTCTTGTCTCTGCTTTATAGATGAGGGAATAGGGCTTGGGGAGTGACGTACCTGTGCACAGTCACACTGGTAGGTGGCAGGGTGATTCAAGCCCACCTCTGTGTGATTCCAGAGTTCTCTGGCTCAGGCAATGCCATACCTGCCCCCTAATATTGTCCTCCCCTAGAGGGGTCCAGGGAGGGTGCATACAGACAGCAGTACTGAGACTGCTGACATTGCAGGTCCCAAACAACAAACACAATGAGCAGAAGCAGGCAAGGAGAAGGAGGAGGAAAGGGAAGCTGAACAGGGTCCCGCCTTGATTTAAGGAAGTCCTTTTCCTTTCGGTGTTGTGGATCTGAGCTACCCTCAGCCTTTGCATTTTTCATTTTTTTGGTTTGTTTTTGTTTTTTGAGACAGGTCTCACTATGTAGTTTATGGTTGTTTTGGTTTGGCTTTTTTCTCATTTGTTTGTTTGTTTTGTCACTACATAGTTTAGGCTGGCCTTGAACTCTCCATGTAGCTCAGAGGCTGGTCTCAAAGCAGTCCTGCCTCAGCTTCCCAAGTGCTGGGATTTCAGTGGGCACCATACCTGGCTCTTTTATTTTGAGACTGTCTTGACAGGTTGTCCATAGGACTCGAACTTGTGACCATCCTGCCTTAGCAGCCCTCAGTGCTGGTAGTACACGTGTTCTGGTTTTGGTGTTGTTACTGTTTGTGGTGCTGGGTATTGAACCCAGGTCCTTGGCACTGAGTTATCCCCCTAGGCCCTAGGCTCTCACTTAATCCCCTGCCCCAGCCTCTCAGAATGCTGAAATTATGCGTGCTCCCCACACCTCACTTGGAAAAACTTATTTATGGCATTGGATGAAGATTGTTTGTGTAGAAGACACTGGAAGTTGTAGCATAAAGTTGTAAATATAGTGGACCCTTGATTTATGAAATTGGTTTCATTGTTTGTGTGTTTATTTGTTTGATACCGGGGATTGAACTCACAATTTTGTGCTTACCAGGCAGTCACTTATGCCACTGAGCTAAATCCCTGGCCCTTTGGTTTCTTTCTTGAGGGCTGTGTATAACTAAAATTGGTTGTAAGTCAATTGGTTTTCTCAAATAATGAAAATACTTATAATGCCTTCCAAACCTCACAAAGTATCCCTTAACTAACTTTTGGTTTTTTGAGACAAGGTCTTGCTATGCAGTTCAGGCTGGCCTTCAATTTATTTTGTAGCCCAGGCTGGCCTCAAACGCATAGCAATCCTACCTCAGCCTCCCAAGTGGTGGAATTATAGGCATGTACCATCATGCCCAGCCTAACCAACCTTTTCATAATAAAAAAATGGTTATATAAATGTGTGTAACTTACCAGAAACGCCAATAATTTTCCTAGTGTATTCATCAAAAAGTTATAAACTATGTATACTTTATCAGAAGCAACAATTTCATACTGTACTCACTGTTCAAGTTGACATCTTTGGCTTGCAGGAAGGGAGGGTGAAATAGAAGATGGTTATTGTTTGCAAGGAAAGTCCCTTCCCGTAAGAACCTCAGAAATCTGGCTGTCTTGTCTTTCTCTCCTTGGGAGAGTCTTTAGCCCACTAGGGCCTGCTTGTGACTCACTAAGACTCAACCTTTTCAGAACTAAAAAGGGGTCTAAGGGCTGGCATTCAGGTTATTACTCAATACTTTGGTTGTAAGTTAAACCTTTTCCAGTTGTAACCCAAGTTGTTCAGATATGGGGACAGAGTATAACTCGAGGGTTCATTGTGGTTATATGGAAAATCAATCTAGTGAGTTTAGGGAAATTCTGCAGAGAGAAAACTGTGATACTCAACACCACTTCTCCCTACCTAGAGCATGGAGAGGGCTGGAGAAAGGGACGCAGCCCCAGTGTTGATGGTGAACTTGCTGAACCCTTGCTGCATGAATAGGTAGAACCAGGGCATCCACTTGCCTTCATTTTTTTGACTGATACTCCCCACCCCCCAGATATTTCTTCTTGCAGGCAGAAAGCGGAAAAAAAGCAAAACATCCAACTACCTGATCTCCACTGACCCAACAGATTTATCTCGAGAAGGGGAAAGTTACATTGGCAAGCTCAGGTAAGAGTAGCCTTACACCCTTTCCTGTTCTTTCTGATAAGGTTATTCTGTTTCAGAATAATCCATATCCTTTTTTCAAAATTAGCATATAGAAATGTGACAATCAGAAATCAAAAAACATTATAGCAAAATCCAAGTCCCCTCCTGGTGCCACGAGAGATCTTTGAAAAAGTGACACCGACAATCCCGGCATTGAGAACAGGCAGACAGGCCCCATTCTTGCCGCTCCTTGATGGGAAAGTGCACCTCATCATGGTGACTTTGTGTCTTGGCACCAGGTCCAACCTCATGGGGACCAAGTTCACGGTGTATGACCATGGCGTCAGCCCGATGAAGGCCCAGGGTCTGGTGGAGAAGACCTACACCCGGCAGGAGCTGGCTGCCATCTGTTACGTGAGTGTTGTCCCCACATGGGCCCCTCCCTGCCCCAGCTCCCTTCCCACATGGTCTGTGTCTGTAGGTCCCCCTCAGTTACTGCTGTGTTTCTCCATGTAGTCACGTTTTCATTGTTTATGAATTGCCAAGTTCAGTTGTTTTCATTTTTGTGTTATTTCTTGCCTTATCTGTTCTTCTGGGGTTTTTTGTTGCTGTTGTTTTGATTTTTTTTTTTTCTCTCTTTTTGAGAAAGGGTCTTACTGTGCAGTTCAGGCTGGTCTCAGGCTCACTTTGCAGCCCAGGTTGGTCTCAAATTTGGTGTGATCCTCCTGCCTCAGCCTCCTGAGTGCTGGGATTACAGGAGTGTGCCATCACGCCTGGCTCTGCTCTTCTGTTTTTGTATTGTCACTTAATTTAGACCTTCTTTTACCTCTTATCTGTTGACCAGAAATTACACTAAATTAAAACTGACCTCTCTGCTTTTACCCCTTCCTTCTTTCTTTTCCATTCTTTTCTTTTCTCTGTCTCCCTGTCTCCACTCCTTGCTGTCCTCCTCTTCCCCATCACCTCATTCTGACAGGGTCTTGCTGCATCACCTGGGCTGGCCTTGAACTGCTGGGCTTAAGTGATGCTGTGATCCCAGCCTCCTGAGTAGCCAGGGCTGCAGATACAGGCATCACCTCCACACACTCTTCTCCTCTAGGGCTTATTTTGTACTACTACCAATAAATGTCTCTCAGTCATGGCTTCACTGACCCTGCTGTCTCCTGCTTCATATTGTTAGTGACCGCCCTGTTGAGCAGGGCTGGTGTACAATATCCCACTGCAGTTTCATCATTGCACAAGCATTATGGAAGGTACCTGATCCTTAATGACTGCACACTGAGGTAGTCCATGGCTGTGATCCTGGCATTCTGGGAGTCTGAGCAGGAGGATCCCAAGTTCAAGCCCATCCTGGGCAATTTAGAGATTTGACTAGACCCTGTCTCAAAAATAAAAATTAAAATAAAGGATTAGAGAATGTAGTTCAGTGCAGGGGCTCTGGGTTCAATCCTGTACCACTACATACATGCTTACACACACTCACACACACTCACACACACATTGCATATGGAAGAAAGCCAAGCATGGTAGCGCACACCTGCTGTAATCCCCAGGACTCAGCAGGCTGAAGCAGGAGGATCACCATGATTATGTAGTGAGTTCAAGACCAGCCTAAACTACATAGTGAGACTCAGTCTCAAAAAACCAAAACCAAAAAAATTCTACTAAAGACTAAAAGACTGGGTATGGTGGCACACATCTGTAATTCCAGCACGTGGAGTGAGAGTTCAAGGCCAGCCTGAACTGCATAGTGAGATGCTGTCTCAAAAAGATAAAAAACAAAGATGGCAGAGTGGTAAGCAGCAGAAAAACAGCCTCTCCACCGTGCAGACGCTGGAATACAGCATTGTGAGGAAGACAAGAAGGAAGGAAGTGGGTTCCCTGGACCCAGGAAGAATCTGAAGTGCGAATTAAAAACCACAAAGAGCATAAAAAGAAAAACTTCAAGGAAGGAGACAGTGGTAGCTGGCAGTATCTTCCCCCTGAGGAGATGGAACTCACTGTGCGAGAGGAGCTCTTTGAACCTGGGGACACAGTCAGGGTGACAGTGATGGCTGGTGACTCCAGAGGCTTCTGCAGGGAGACGTGGCAGTGGAGGAGAGCAGTGGACATGGAAGACTGCCCTGGCTGCTGCTGTTACAAATCTAGTTCATATGGTTAAAAGTTGCAAATTAAGGTTTAGCTCAGTCTGTTGTTTTTTAGGGTGTGCTTGATGCTATTTTTCCACTATAGCTAAAATTGACATAATTGTTCTAAACAGCTTTTGGTCCTGTTATTCTATGACTGAGATTAATTAAGGGTCAAAGAATATATGATGACACAGTACCAGAGATACAGGGACTAGGCCAAACAAGCAACAACTCATCTCCAACAAACTAAAGAGGTGAAATCTTCCAATGGACTCAAAACCCGAAAACCAGCTATACCTGGAAGAAAACTCAGAGAAGTAATCATCACCTAAAGGTCCTAAATACCACCAATAAAGCAACACACCATAGGCAATTTACAGCATCATCCCAGGAATTAAACTAAAAAAAGAAAGAAAAGAAAATGAGAAAACACTTAAGCAAAGTGCAACTCCAGACATGCAGTTTGCCAAAGGCAAAGCCAGGGGGCAATGAGATGGGACAATCTGAAAGCCTCCTCCAGGTGTCTCTGAAATGGTAACAACCAAACAATTGAATGAGGCTGTGGAAAAAATGAGATCAGAAATAATCACTCAGATAACCACCAAGATTACCAAAATACATACTATCCTTAGCAATGTTAGAGCAGAGACAGAGAAGACAAAAAAAACCCAGACAAGCATAAGAAAATTACAGAAGCTCAGCATAAGAAACGGAATCCATAAAGCAGATTCAAGCAGATACCCAAGAGAATAAAAGCTCCATTGAAAGTATTCAAAGCAGATTAGGCCAGTGTGAGGACAGGATCTCAGATATTGAAGACAGGCTTGCAGTTAGAGACCAGGAAAATAAAGATTTTTAAAATAAAACCATGAAAAATCAATACAGTAGCTGCAAGATGAGACAAAGAAGAATAATTTAAGATTAATTGGAGTCAGTGAACAAGCAGAAGATATCACAAATGACATTTTAAAAATATTCACAGACATCATGACAGAAAACTTTCCTGGTAGGATGGAGGGGTTTAACTTAACAGCATAAGTGCCTCCTTGGCAAGCGTGAGATCATGAGTTTGATCCCTGTTACCAAACAAACAAAAATTTTCCTGGTAGAGAAAAAGAATTTGACATATAGATAAATGAGGCAAATAGAACTCAAATTAGAAATGATCAAAAGAGAACTATAGCCAGAAATATCATAGTCAAGATCCCAGAAATCCAACACAAGAACAGAATCCTAAAAGCTATTATAGAAAAGAAATAAATCACCTATAAAGGAAATCCCAGCAGAATTACAGCTGACTTCTCAGCACAAACTCTCAAATTAAGGAGAACTTGAAGTACACCAAGTCTTAAAAGGAAAACAGCTTTCAACTTAGATTGATGTACCCAACAAAACTATCTTTCAGAATTGATGGAGAAATAAGATACTTCCATGACAAAGAACATCTGAGGAAATTTGTAACCACCAAACCAGCACTCTAAAATATTCTGAATGACATTCTAGAAAGAGATAATAAGGACTACAGCTCTATAAACTGCAACAGAAAGAATCCACCAGTCAAGGCAAACAATTGGTGGGGCAGAGGGGAGGACTCAACAACAAGAAAATAACATAAGGATAAGTTAATACATACAAGTTATATGCCAATAATGTTAATGGTCTTAATTCACCAGTCAAAAGGCATAGACTGGCAGAATGGCTCAAGAAGCAAGATCCAATAATATGCTGCATATAAGAAACACATTTAATTCAAAAAGTAATTCATAGACTGAAAGTCAAAAGATAGAAAACAATATGCTATGCAACAACCCAGATAAAAGCAGAGGTAGCTATTCTGTTTGCAGACAGAGTGATTTTCAAGCCCAGGCTAATTAAGACAGATAAAGAAGGCTACTACATCCTCATAAAGGGAACAATCTAAGAGGAAGACATACAATTATAAATGTATGTGCAACAAATACCAGTGCACCCAGTTATATAAAACAATTACTAATGGACATGAAAAATCATATAAGCACTAACACAATTGTATTGGGAGGCCTCAATACCTCATTGTCACAAAGAGACAGATCAACTAAATAAAAAATCAATAATGAAACATTAGAACTAAATCAAACTTTTGAACAAAAGGATTTATTAGTTGTCTATAGAGCGGTCCACCCCACAACATCATAATACACATTCTTCTCAGCTGCACATGGGACATTCTCCAAAATAGACCATACACTGGCTCATAGAACATGCTTAAGTAAATGAGAAGGAATTGAAATTATCCATTCATACTATCACACCACAGTGCAATGAAATTGGAAGTCCATGCCAAAGAAAACCACCAGAACTTTATAAGCACATGGAAATAGCACCCTACGGAACAACCAGTGTGTCACAGATAAAATTAGAGAGCCCAGGGATTTAGCTCAGTAGCATAATTGCCTGCCTGGCAAGTGCAAGGTCATGAGTTTGTTCCCCAGTACAAAAAGAAGAAGAGGAAGAGGAGGGAGAAGAGAAGAAATTAGACAGTTTTTACAGTGGAATGATAGTGACCAAACAACATACCCGAACTTGTGAGACACAATGAAAGCAGTTGTAAGAGGATAATTTGTAACAGTAAATAACCATGTCAGGAAAAGAGAGCAAGGGCATACAAACAACTTAATGCTGAACCTCAAACTTCTAGAAAAATAAACAAAAAAGATCAAAAATAAAGTGTCAACACAGTCAAGCTTGTTTTAAATGTAGGTGTTCAATATTTTTTAAAAAAGAAGTTCCAAACTACAGCTGACCATACTGCTGTGCATCTATAATCCAAGCACTCCAGGAGAGTGAGGCGGGGCACTGCATGTTCCAGCCTGCGCTGGGCGTAGGGAGATGTAACTCAGCAGGAAGCCTGAGTTCACTCCCCAGTACTACATTTTTTTAAAGTACAAAAATATTTTTGTAGGTTCTTTCTTTTGAGACAGGGTCTTGCTGTGTGTTCAGGCTGGTTTCAAATACCCAGATTCATAGGTCCTCCTGGCTGTCTCCCAAGCAGTTAGGACTTTAGATGCCACGGTGCCTGGCTTTCTATTTTTGATTCTCTCGTTTTTGTTATTTTTTAACCACAGCAACATAATGAAGTCACTCTGGGTGCTATTGACATTGCCAGCATTTGACATGCCCAGAAAGTCTTGTATCAGCATCGATTGTTCTCTCTATCCTGTGTTTCCAAATTCTGCCTTGTTTTCCTGTCTCCCAGGAAACAAATGTGCTTGGATTTAAAGGGCCTAGGAGAATGTCTGTGATTATTCCTGGGATGAATATGAATCATGAGCGGATCTCCTTTCAGCCACGAAATGTAAGTAAGGGCCTATTTCATCAGTAGAGACCCATGGGAGACAGCAGCACGGAGTAGGAGAAATCATACAAGCAGAGTTGTCCCTGCAGACCCCACAGGGGTACTGGCTCGGCCCTCTGTAGAGCTGCTGCTCGCAACCTCAGCATAGGGCAGCTCCAGGGATCTTGCTGAAATCAGGGATCTAAAACCATTGCAAATGGTGGCAAAGAGAAATGTCGGACAGTGTATGAGAAGGGAAAGACTGGGTCATGTTTCGTTTTAATTCTTTGCTTGTGTTTTATCCTCTCTGAAACAGAAATATTTCCCTACTCTACTGTTTACCTGGAAACAATGAGAAAAACCCTGTTTTTACAGTTATCAGTACAGAGTGCACTGTTCCTTTTGACAGGACAACGAGAGCCTGCTCTCCAAGTGGCAGAGCAGAGCCATGGAGAACCTGATCGAGCTGCACAATAAGGCCCCAGTGTGGAACGATGACACACAGTCCTATGTGCTGAACTTCCACGGCCGGGTCACGCAGGCGTCCGTGAAGAACTTCCAGATAGTGCACGCTAACGACCGTAAGCCAGGACGGGGCTGGAACAGGAAGGGTATCCCAACAGGGTGCAGAGAGGAGAGCCTGCAGGAAGGTGTGCTCAGGGAAAAAGGATTTCTTTGGAAAGACAGAAGGCCATCTTTAGAGAAATCCACGCCATGTTGAAGAGGAGAGAGGCGTGAGAGATGGCTTGGGTGGGCTTTGAATGTGGGCATGTAGGCAGGGGAATCCAGGAAAGCTGCTTATGATTCCGGCTCAGGAGCGTGTTCGGCCCTCTCTGCCCACTGTGCTACTCAGGCGCAGTCTCGTCCTCATAGGTGAGAGCAACTCAAGCGCCACCTCTGCTTGTGATGAGCAGACACTCTTGTCGCCTCTTCCCGTCCTTACAAGTTTCCTTTTTTTTTTTTTAGCAGCACTGGGCATTGAACAGGGCCTTCACAGTGAGCTACATCCTCAGCCCTTCTTAATTTTTAGACAGAGTCTTGAGCTGGACGTGGTGGCACACTCCTGTAATCCCAGTGTTAGGGAGGCCGAGGCAAGGGGATTGTCTTGAATTCAAAACCATCTTGAATTACGTAGTGAGACCCTGTCTTCAAACAAACAAAAAAGAAAAAAGAGAGGGTTTTGCTAAGTCACTTAGTTGTGATTCCCCTGCCTCGGCCTCGCAGAGTTCTGGGATTACAGTCATGTGCCCCATACCCAGCTAAAGTTTCCATTTTACTTATTCTTTGTGCTGGGGATGGAAACTCATACACACTAAGCACGAATGCTACCACCGTGCTACAGCACTGTCCTTCCCCCACTTTTCAGTTAAAGACGGCTGGTGATGAACTGACCAGTCTGGGGTTTTGAGGTTTTTTTCCCCTGTCTACCTTAGGTTTCCCCTGATATAGTCCATGGGATATTTTTTTCAGTACCAAGGTCTCTACACTGAGCTACATCTGAGCCCTGTTTTTACTTTTATTTTGAGACAGGGTTTCATTAAATTGCCCAGGTTCGGCTCAGCCTTGCAATCCTCCTGCTTTGGCCTCCTGTGTGCCCCGCTTACAGGCGTGAACCACCACACCTGGCCTGCCCGCGTCACCTTGTAACATCCCGCTTGCTTTCTGCTTCTAGCTGACTACATCGTCATGCAGTTTGGGCGTGTGGCAGACGACGTGTTCACACTGGACTACAACTACCCGCTGTGTGCGCTCCAGGCCTTCGCCATCGGGCTCTCCAGCTTCGACAGCAAGCTGGCGTGCGAATGAGAGGCGTGGCGGCCAAGCCTGCTCCTCACACAGCTCTCGGAGCAGAAGTCTGCCCCTTCCGTGGCCCCTGAGCACATGCCCGCGTGTATGTGGGTGTGCAGATGTGTGCACAGGTGTGTCTGTCCACACATGCGCCTGCTCCAGGTTGGAGAGAGTAGCTTGGGGCACAGCCTGCTGGGTGAGCTGTTTCAGCCAGAGAACCACTTGTCAGAGCACCGTGACTCCTGAGTCACTGCCCTGCCATCTGTTTCTCATGAATAAATTTTCTATACTCAGAAATTCACAGCCTGAAGAATCAGATCAGGCTTTCACAATCTTGGGGGTTTTTTTGTTTTGTTTTTTGAAACTATGGTCTCACTAGCCGAGACCAGCCTTGAATTTGTGATCTTCCTGCCTCAGTCTCCTGAGTGCAGGGCTTATAGATGTGTGCCCAGGTCCCTGGCTTCTGGATCTTTTCCAAAGATGGACAGTTCCCTAAATTGTCTTTAGCCTTCAGGGCTGAAAAGCATGCACAGTCTTTCTATAAGAGTCTTGCTAGTCTCACAACTACTCAGATCTGCCGCTGTAGTACAAAAGTAGCCGCAGATAACCCTGCACGAAGACCTGAGGCTGTGTGCCGATAAACTTTACTAACACAGAGGAGGTGCAGGGCCACGTGTGACCTGTGCCTGCTTCGGGTCTGTCCTCAGACCCTGGCTCTTCCAGAGTGGCGTATGGTCACCAGCTGTGAGTAGAAAGTGGCACAGGTGGGGCCACGGCCCCGCAGATTTTCTTCACCAACATCTACATCTCTCTGTTGTTGGTGACAGTGACTCTATAGTGCAGTCTCCCATCAGGACAGGGAGTCACTGCGCATCCAACCAGGTGACCTCCCTGTACTGTCCCACGAGCTTCCTCACAGAAGGCAATGGCTGAAGTTTATTGCCTGAAAAGAGCTCGGGCACAGTCGCAGGCACACAGGGATTGTGCTTCCCACAGGGCCCTCTCCTCCTCCCCCACCAGGTTAGTGGATGTCACCTCAGTCGAGGTAACTGGCCAGGTTTGTGATCAGCTTTGGAAGAATATGCTCTAATGGTCTTCATCTCAGCTTAGGGCACTATCTAGGGAGGACAGGGAATCTTTTGGTAGCTGTCTTCTTTCTCAGCCCAGATGTGCTTCCCACACTCATCTGCAGACTATGTGGCAGGCAAGGCAATGCCACGTACTGGCACTTGGTTAGTGTCCTATCAAGAGAAGTGGCAGGAGAGGTTGGGTGACCAGCTAGCAGACCTGAACTCTGCAGACCTCACTGGGCAGATCTTGGACCTTCCACAGTGTCCGTGTTCTCAGGCCCCTGAGCTTGGGCCATTAGCATGAACGATGCTCCCAGGGCTGCCCTTTACAGATCTAAGACTCTTGCTAAGAGTTTCGAGTTACACACATCTCCCAGCAAACTGAGACTCTCCTGCCACTTCACTGGCCCAAAGTGTATCTGAACCCAAGAATCAACAAGTACTTCTGCACTTAGCACTGCTCAACTCCCAAGGCCTTGTGCTCTGAGCTCTCTGCTAGCCTGGGGCAAGGAGTCAGTGCCCCGTGATAATTCCTTTCTTTGGACTTTCCTTGTCTCTGCTTCCATTGTTCCTTGTCCCACATCCAGTAGCCATGTGAAAGCTAGAGATCCAGGATGAGAAGGCTGTGCCAGGTTAGGCCAGCTCATTCTGACAAGACTGCTTTCCATCTCAGGCAAAATCCCATCAAGTGCCTCATTTCTAAAAGTGCCCTGAAGCCGGTTCCACCTCTGCCACCCATTATCCCAGTGAGCTAGCAAGCCACCCCTGTTGAAACAGGCTGCCTCCTCTCCAGCTTCAGGATATCACAGGGACTGGGGACCTCTAGGGACAACTCAATCTGCTCAGTCCTCTGGCTCGGAAAGCCACAGCCCCACTCCAAGTATTCTGCTTGAGTGCAGGTGATTGATTTTACAGAAATCATGTTTATACCTTTTGTATGCTACAGAAATAAAATATTTATATTAGAATACATCACCATGAGTCTCATTCCTCACAGTTTCTATTACCATATTCTGAAATAATAGTTTTCAGCTTGGCAACAGAGAACTAACCAGCTCTTTGAAGCCGGATATCCACACAGTACTTTTGTCCTGGATGGAGCAGGAGTCGACAGAGGAACAGTCTACATTCAGGAGCTGATGGAGGAACATCACTGCCACAGAGCTGGGAAGGGGCCAGCCGCAGAACGAGGGAGCCTTGAGTGCAGAGGGGTGGGGCGTCTGCAAGGGTTCCTCTCCTGGATCTGTTGACTTTGCTGACTAATTCCCCAGCAACCAGGGAAACAGGCCTTCCTCTTGCCTCTGAAGTGTCACCTGTACTGACCAGGTAAAAAGGAAGCGCACAAATCTTCAGGAGGCTCCCAGGGACAGCAGCCATCAGGACACAGGAAAAGCAGAAATCCAGTTCAGCCTTGGGGGTTTTTTTTCTTGTGGCTAAGGCGCGTGCTAACCACACAGGTTCTTTGTACATTCCCGATAGTTTGTGGTGCTCAGAGGTCTTTAGGGGAAATGAACCCAGGCAGCTCACACATGTGAAGTCAGGCAAGTGCTCAACCACTGAGCTGCACATTCACTCTGCCTGATTAATTAAAAATTCTCTGTTTCATCTGGTGTACATCTGCCAGTTCAGTCACAGTGCCTGGCATCATGGCCTTGGGGCCTGTGGGTACCTGCTCAGCGGGTGGCAGGCTCCTGCTGCCCTGAGCTTTTTTTTTTTTTTTTTTTTTTTTCTGAGCTACATCTTGAGACCTTTTTTGTAAATTTTATTTTGAAACAGGATGTCCCTAAATTACCCAGTCTGGGCCCGTGCTTTCGATCCTCCCGCCTCAGACTCCCAGAGTGCTGGGTCGCTGGTGTGCAGCAGCATTACCTGCTGGAAGCGCTGGTCTTTTAAAGTGTGGTTGCATCAACCAGAGGATTTTCCTGCTGAGACTAGGAAGGAAGAACTTGCCCTTTGGGCTCCAGGAGGGCGGCATCTGGGCTCGGGCGCCACCTAGCGACAGACGATAGCACTGCAAGTGCGTCGAGATGCGGATGCCCAGGCGTTGAGGCCCTAGGAAGACTCCCTGTGGCTCCCTCAGGACCCTGTGCGTTTGCGGCACCCTAATTCCTCAGGGGGCCTGGAGATCATATAACTAACATGGGCCTGGGTGATCCCAACCCTTCCTGCTTTCCCACTACCACTAAGTCACTCCCCACCCCTAAGTATTTCTGGAGTTTTTTTGTTTTTTGAGACAGCATCTGTCTATGCAGTTCAGGTTGGCCTTGGGCTCACTTTATAGCCAAGGCTGGTCTCACTGATTTTCCTGCCTCAGCCTCCTGAGTGTTGGGATTACAGGAGGGCAACACCACTCCTGGCTCTGGTCCAAATTTAATTCTACAGACTGGAAAGTAGCCCAGTGGTAGAGTTTGTACCTGGAAATTTTAATTTTAAAGTACTAAATTATGTGCCAGAGGCTGAGTGGGACAATTGCTTGAGCCCAAGAGTTTGAGGTCAGCCTGGGCAACAAGGTGAGACCCCATTTGTTGCCTGATTTTGCCTTTGATCAGTTTTATGTCACGCTGAATCAGACTATATGTAGATGTATATACTTAATAGAAATCATATTAAATAGTTTAAATTTTTTTTCTTTTCTTTTGTTGCACAGGGGACCAAACCCAGAACTTCATGCATGCTGGTGTCACTTTGTCACTGACCATATCCCCAGTGCACTTTAAAAAATTTTTTAAAGTTCTTAAAGACTATACAAAGTCTAATGCTACATTTGTCTTCTCTTCCTTTGTTCACTCCTATTCCTATATTTGACCACTTTCCAGTTTCTTCTAGTCTTTTTACAGCGTTTATGGAATACATTACGGAAACATAGCCAGGATCTAATAAGTGAAAAGCCAAGCTGAGAGCCATAATGTATGTTGCCTTTGGTAAAGAAGAGTGGGGGTCACAGACCAGTTTCTCCTTGGCATACAACCTGGAAAGGGAGACCAAAAGGAACTAGAAAGTCTGGAGGAGAGGGGAAGGGAGCATAAGGGAGGGGAAGGGAAAAACAGAGCCCTGGCCCAGATGGTCCACAGCTGGAATCCAGCACTTGGAAGGCTGAGGCAGGAAGACTGGGAAATCAAGGCCAGACTGGGTGATTTAGTGACAGCAAATCCCTGCTTTAAAAAAAATCAGTCAAGGGGCTGGGGATTTAGCTCAGCGGCATAAGCACCTGCCTTGCAAGCAGGTGGTTGTGAGTTTGATCCCCCAGTACTGGTAAAAAAGAAAAAAAAAAGTTAGTCAATAAATAGTCCTTCCTTGTACTTGTTTATTGTAGTCTGTCATGGGGACTACCACGGTTTTTTGGAGACGCCCCAGTCTTATTTATTTATTTATTTATTTTGGAGACAGGATCTTACTATGAAGTCCAACAGTCTGGCCTTGAACTCACTATGTAGCCAGACCAAGTTGGCCTTGAACTACAGTGATCTTCCTGCCTCAGCCTCCTGAGTGCTAGGCCCAGTTTTTGTTTTTAACATTTCATTTTAAGTTATTTTTTAGTGCTTACTTCAGCAGGACATATGCTAAAATTAAATTGTTTTTTAGTGCTGGAAATAGAACCCAGGGCCTTAGGCATTCTAGGCAAGCACTTTACTGTTGAGCCACAATCCACCCCTTCTTTTATTTCACTGTTTTGTTTTATTTGCAGTGCTGGAAACTGAACTCAGGGCCTTCCTATGGAGCCATGTCCCCAACCTTTTTATTTATTTATTTTGCAGTTGAGATAAGTTTTTGAGACAGGCTCTCACTAAAGAGCAAACTGTCCAACCTGGATTTGAATTTATTATCCTCCTGCCTCAATCTCCCATTTTATTTAACACTGATTGATTGAGACAAAGTCTCACTGTGCAGTTTAATTTTTTTCCCCTAAAACCTATAATCGCATCTGCAAAGACTTTTTGTGGTAGTTTTCTTTTTGAGACAGGGCTGGCCTTGAGCTCACTTTGTAGCCCAGGTTGGCCTTTAACTTGCAATGATCCTCCTGCCTCAGCCCTCTGCATACTGAGTTTATAGGCCTGCGTTACCATGCCTGGCTCCTAATGTTTCTTTTTTGGAGGGTGGATTTTTTGGGTACCAGGGATCAAACTAATGGTCTTGAGCTTTCCAGGCAAGTGCTTATGCTGCTGAGCTAAATCCCTGGCCCCCTAATGTATCTTTTTAACTGACATAAAATTGTATCTATTTATGGGCACATGTGATGTTTCCATGAGTGCAAACATCTATCTCCTCAAACAGTTGTTTTCTCGGGGAAAACAGTCACTGTATGTATTAACCCTGTGTTCTGACCACATACAGAGCTCAAGTCCCGGGATATTTTAATCCTCTTTCTCACTGCTCACACACAGTCACGCCCATCATTTTGCACCCATGGAATCTTTCTTAGGCCTGAATTCTGTCCCGCTGTCTGCCCTCTTGTTTTGTATGCACTACTGGGTTGCCAGCCACAAACGGCCCCTCGGCGTGGTGGCTGTTTAAATAAGACAGTTAAAAATCACTTCTGAGGGGCTGGGGATTTAGCTCAGCGGCATAAGCACCTGCCTTGCAAGCAGGCAGTCGTGAGTTCCATCCCTGGTGCCGATAAAAACGAAAAAGACAAAAAAAAAAAAAAATCACTTCTGAGCTGGGCATATAGTTCAGGGGACGAGCCTGGGTCCACTGCCCACCACCCCTAGACAACCTTAAACTCCTCAGACACGCTACATTCTGGGTTCTCCATAACTGTGTGTGTCTGGGGTTACCACTGTGGACGTGGTGATCAGGACATCTTAATGGCTATGGGAAGTTTTGGTGTCCACCCAATCACAGAAATCTCACCTTCCTTGGCATGATGGCACATGCCCATAATCCCAGCACTGGGGAGGCGGAGGTAAGAGAACTACAAATTTGAAGCCAGCCTGAACAAATTAGGTGAGGTCTTTTCCAAAATAAAAAATAAAAAGGGCTGAGAATGTATCAGAGAAGTAGACTCTTGCTTAGCATATGCAAAGCCCTGTGTTCAAACCCCAGCACCTCAAAATAAACAAGAAACAAATGACTGGAGATATGGTTCAGCGCAAAAGGCTTGGTTTTAATATCCAGTATCAGAACAAATACATAAAGAAAGAAATTCCAAATTCATGTTTCCAAGCTTAACAATCCTCCTATCAGTTATGTGCAGAAGTTGTCAAATGTCTAGCTTCTGTTAGACTGTCAGTAGCGTGGGAAGGACAGAATAAGGCTTTTCCCCATTTACCTCTAGTACCTGCCCAACACAGGGAAAGACATCATATATGTTCAATAAATGTGAATGAAAGAGAGCCATGAGGAAAGAGGCTGAGGTTGTCATTTAGACTCCTAATGGCTTTATGTGTTTGTTTGATTGGTTTTATTTTATTTTTGACAATTTCTTTTGACATAGGGACTTACCTTGAACTCAAGACCCTCCCTGCCTCAGCCTCCTGAGTGCTGGGATTACAGACTTGCGCCACCATATCTGGTTGGCTTTTGATATATATTTTTAGAGGGTTTTTGTTTGTGTTGCCATTGGGAATTGAGCCCAAGACCTGATGCATGCACTAAGTGTATGCTCAGCCACTGAGTTACACCCAGCCTGTCTTGATTTTTTTTTGTTTTTGTTTTTGAGACAGAGTCTTGCTGTATAGCCCAGTCTGGCCTTGAACTCACAGCAATCCTCCTGCCTCAGCCTCCTGAGTGTTGGGACCACAGGTGTGTGCCACCACTCCTGGTTTGCCTATTGTCACTTTTAAAAGATATGAAGACACACGAAAAGGATTGGATATACAGTTATAATCTCCCTTTTTAAAAAAGTTTCTTTTAACTAATATATTTGCAATACATGATGTCATTCATCTTTATCTGTTTTTTGGGGTGTTTGTATTTTGTTTTTATTTACTTGAGGTTTTTGTTTGTTTTTTGAGACAAGGTCTTGCTATATA